TTAGGGTTTAGGGTTTTGGGGGGATTTCTTTCCCAAAGGGTCCTAGGTATCTTTATGGGGGATACTCCCCCAAATCATAAGAGTAGTTCATCATATACAAACCCTACATTTTACTAAAAAGGTACTTTGGACTCTTTGGGTTTTAAGGGTTCCCTTAAGGTGGTCTATAGGGGTTCTATAGGGGTTACTTGCAAGGAATTCCTTTAAAAGGGGTCTATGGGGGTTCTATAGGGGTTACTTCTAAGGAATTCCTTTCAGGAGGTCTATAGGTGAGTTGTGTACAGGGGTTACTTCTAAGGATTACCAGGTTCCTTTAAGGGGGTTCTATAGGGGTTACTTCTAAGGGGTACCATAAGGGTTAGTATAAGGGTCTACTATAGTAGCCTTAATGATCTAGGAATTAGGTTCTTGTCAGGGTGCATGTAATGATGGGGCATCGGGTCAGGCTTCATAGGGCGCGTGGTATGGATTTCTTTTACCCTGGGTCAGGGTTATGTAGAGTTTAAGCTTTGCGGCTTTGGTTCTAAAGTTTGCAATTTGCGGCTTATGGCTTAGTCGTGATACTTCTCCGTGGGGTAGGACCGACTGGAAGTACTCCGGTGGCTTTCGTTTTTGGGTAGCATGAATATAGTAGAATGACTAATTGCAGGCTAACCATTAAGTTGCAAGTTTGATGTTTAAGCCGAACCGCAAAACGCCCTATTGCAAACGCCTCAGAAAGAGTACTACAGCTGTCTGTTAGTGTTATAGGCACTTGCTAACGGCATTGTCGGTATTGCTTCCATGGTTATTCCTGCTGAGATTACTCTTAGTTAAGTTTCCTTCCTTCAGTTCCAGCATCGTAGGGTTGTTGATATTGACAGTGGTTCCGACTTCTTGTGTCTGCACTGCTGCTTTTGATCGTTCCTTCCTGTGCCGTACGTACCCGCTGCAACTCGCCGGGTTGCACAGCCTTCAGCTTGAGAAGACGGTTTGCAATTCGCGGGGCTCAGGCCATCAGCCGCAACTCCTGAACCGCACTCCAGACACTAAACCCTTAACCCTGAACCCTAAACCCTACACCCTAAACCCTTACTCGTTGAGGGTTTAAAGGAAGTCAGCAGGGCTTGAATGTACAAGTCTGAATAACTGCTAGTAGTCAAGTCCCCTCATAGTCCCCGTATTCGTACATAGTATTCTGGTGTAGCATACCCCAAACCCTAAACCCTAAACCCTAAACCCTAAACCCTAAACCCTAAACCCTAAACCAAAACCCTACGTATTCTACTTCTTAAGGCCCTGGCACTCAAGATCTGCATTCTATTGTCGAGGTGGAGCTTTCATACTCAAGGTTGGCCCATTATATTATAATTATAGGAAGAAACCCTCCCAAAATCGTATTGGTAATTATCTAGGCCCCTACATTACCTTAACAGCCCTCCTTCCAGCAACAAATACCTTTCTAACGAAAGATATATCAAAAAAAACACAATAAGGGACCCTGAAATTATAGGTTTCTTACGGTCCGGTAAAGCCTAAACCCTCTTGGAGTGCTGAATCTTTGTCTTTGGAGCCAAGAACCCTGGCTGCAAGAGCACTGTCTTTGCGGAGGTGAAGAAAGTTTTATGTCGTCCTATAAGGGGGCCAAGGACTCTTTCTTGCAAGATTTTAGGTTTGTCTGGTTGTCTGAAACCATAAATGAGGCCTACTTGGACCCTTAAAGTAGGGCATGCACGCGATTCCAGGCACGATGCTTGACCCAAGACTCTGAACCCAACAAGCGAAACCCAAACGCTGCAACCACGAGACAGGGCGAGGTTCCATCCACACGGAGGCCCAAGAAAGCACATCCTCCTTGCAAAATGACACGCAGGCAGAACCAGAGCAGGACTGAGATAGCACCGGGATACCTTAAGCCCGAGGAGCCACGAAGCTAGAGGGGCTATGATTGCCAGGCCTTGCGCCTACTTCGCCCCGTGTGCCATGCTCGGCACGCCCGAGGACTTGCAAGACTTCGTGGCAGAGGCCTGGGGAAACCCTAAACCCTAAACCCTAAACCCTAGACCCTCTAACCGTCAAGGCCAGGCCTAAGCCAGAGCCCCTACGATGGTTCCAGGATTCAAAGTGTTGGCCTCTGCCAAAGAGCTTTAAATAATCATCAGGCATGGTATCCCCTTAGGATCTCTGCAGAATAATTATGCTGAACTTCAAATCCGAAACCATGAACCCTAAACCCTGAACCCTGAACCCTAAACCCTAAACCCTACACCGTAAACCCTATGCCAATCGTTAACGTTCCTATGTCAGGTTGCCTTCCCAACTTGGCATGGCAGAGGCTCTTTAGGGGTTTAGGGTTTAGGGTTTAGGGCTGAACCGAGGGGAAAGCTCGATGCGGCCGGAAATGGACCCTGGCGGCGAAATCCTTGTTCCTGGCGGAACCGGTTTAGGGTTTAGGGTTTAGGGGTTTAGGGGTCTAGGGGTCTAGGGGTCTAGGGGTTTAGGGTTTAGGGGAGGTGGACGTTGAGTACAATATGTCGGCGGGTAGGATACTCTTCAAGAGGCCCGCAGCCGACCAGGATTGGGCACGTTGCTTTAGGATTCACCAAGATTTCGAGCGACCTGACCGTGGTGAGGACAAAACAAAAGATAAACAAAAACACCGACCCCAACAAGTCTCATCCAAGCAGACACTCGACGGCAAGCGCCGCCACGATATCCTCGGGGTGCGCCACGCAGTCCCTGGCTCAAAGATGGTGCGGTGGATATGGACTGCCTGGCAAAGAAGTGACGCACGGAAAGCAGTGACCATGCTGACCATACCGTTGATGCCAGGTAGCCAAGATTGATGGATATATGAATAACAACACACATGAGTTTGTTGAACATGTTTTGCAGCGAAACACACCCTGCAATCCAAGGGGGTTTGCAGCTCTAAGGATTTCCTGAAACTTGCCTCCTCATCATAAGCCCTTGATATATATATATATATATAAATTACCAATGATATTGTGGTGCTCCTCGATGTAATTGCGGTATCATAGACCCCCAAACCCTGATCCCTAAACATTCCTAAACTCTGAACCCTAAACCCCGAACCCTGAACCCTGAACGCTAAACCCTGAACCCCAAACCC